AAACATGTTTTAAATGGTTAATATTTTAAAAAGATTTGTATATTTTCATTTGTTTTATGGGAACACACTAGACACCCTATTATGATCTCCTGAAACCAAACATCCGAAATATTTCCCTCTGAACTGAAAGCTTATTGTCTGTTACTACCTGAAATATCTTTGGGACCTCAGCTCAGCATAAAAATCTGTATATGTCCGAATCAATAAGGAAACATATGCTTATCAGTTATATGCATGTTATGTAGCATCAATTGGTAGTATTGTATTACTGAGCTTTCCAAAGCTCACTCGGTTACTCACCATTTCAGGTTAAAGAATCGTACCAGTGCAGCTTTCGACATCAGCAAGGGAGTTCCTCTGGCGTTGCTTGCGGAGTACAGTGCATATGATTAGGGGGCATGTAGGTTTTATTTAATTTTTATATCTGAGTATGTAAATCTATTTTATTTCTGAATATTGGTAAATTTTACTTTTGTATTTATAAATGGTTTTATGACTTTACGTGTTTTAACATAAATTTTAATTTTTCCGTGATTTTCTATGGTGGGTCGCTCCGGTGGCTCTAATGTGACACCTCGGATCGGATCGGGTCAACCGCATCGGTCTTAGGGGGTTACACTCTTGGTACGGATGTTGCTCTTGTCGTACTTGATTGTGTTTAGTTGTTTAGGTTGCATTAAATTTAAATATATTAGACTGGTATTATTTATTGTTACTTATTTTAGAGTCAATGTAGAATGGTGGTGTTGTTGCTCCTGCAAGACCACTGGCATCTTAACCTCTGGGTTTTGGACAGAAACATGATGCTATTATAGATATACCTCTGGGTACAATGGATGTAATGAAGTTTTTGTTTCCTTTACATTTCTTTAAGATGAACACTCAAGGGATGGTTGATTACTTTAGTTTATTGATTTTGATAATTGCAGGATTCCAAGAAAAGAAGCTTGTTGCTTGGGAGGCTGATCTTAAGAGGAGGGAAAAGGTTATTTTTAACTTGGTGCTTGTTTAGAAGTGTAAATGACTTGCTTTCCTTTTCCCTTAAGTAAAGGCTTGTTCACTTGATTTTATCATGTGATGCCTCCTTACTCGTGCTCTGCATTAATTGTTCTTATGATTCGACTTTCTATTTAACTTGTATTCCTAAATTTTTTCATTTTTATTTTCAGGATATAAAACGAAGGGAAGATGTTGTTTCCCAATGTAAGAGAACTGGAGCATAAGCAACTGTTTACCTTAACTTTCTTCTCAAGTGGTTTTATAGAATTCTAAATGCTCCCTTTTTTTGGTATATCAGCTGGTGTTTCCACATACGATTAAAATTGGCCGCCAATTTTCCCAATTATACATCATGATATAGCTAATGAGATATTGGTTCATGCTCTGAGGCTGCAATATCTTGCATTCACAAGTTGGCTTGGTGTTTAAGTTTATTTTTTGGCTTCTTATTGGATTTTTTTGTACTACTCTTCATTCCTAACTTTTTAATGTAAATTGTTACGCAAAAGATAACTTGTAAACTTTATTGAATTTAAGTTTTTGCACTGAAACTTGTAAACTTTATTGAATTTAAGTTTTTGCACTGAATTTTATTGTTATATTAGGTGCAGTTTGATAAAGTGAAAAATTAAGTGTTAAAAAGCTAAGCGTTGAACTGTAAATATTGAATTTTATTAGTGCTGGATTTATATTTGGAAATTGTTTTGTAAATGAGAAAAAATAAGTACCGGAAGTAAGTTTTTTTTTAAATTATTTATTTCTTAATTTTAATACTATTAATATAGAATTTTATATTATTTTTTCTAGAGTTTGGGATAAAAGTTAATTATAATAATTTGAATTTTTAAAAGTTAATTTATTTCAAATATAGTTCTTTTAAAAAAATAAAATCAACTTTACTTTTTCAACATAAGTGATAAGTAGTTTGCTTCCTTATCTTCTTCAACACGTTTTTGTTGTTTATATATCAAGTAAAAAAATTAATATAATTACCGAACACAATAAAAAAAATGTTATTTTTTTTTTCATTTTCAATGATATACCAAAGTAACACACCCTTAGCTTTACTCAAATGTATCTAAAATTATCCTATTCACTTATAGTTTCTTTTCCAGTTTAATCCTCAAGTATGCAATATTATTATTATTTTGTGCATGCATGCATGTGGAAAATGATGGTAAATTTTATGTTATTCGTGTGGATGCCATTATCATGTAATGTGTTCAGAGTGTCTTCTCTCTTTTCATTTTATTGCTTGAGCCTTGAAAATCTCAAGTTAGGAGTTTCATTAAATCCTCATTTAACGGTTACAGTTTGGAATTAATTTTGGCAAGCAAAATTTATTCCTTATTACATCTTCCTTGTTTAGTATTATTGACTTGATTTAATTTTCATATTTCAGGCATAGTTCTTTACCTTGTTTTTAACGTTATTGCAGTGATTGTTTGTTGGATTCAAGGTGGTGGTAAGTATTTTCTGATTCTCTTTCATTTTGCCTTTATTGTGGAATGTTACCTAGGCATGCAATAGTCTTTATGTTCTAACTTGGTTCATATGTTTTATGTGTTAAAATCTTTTTCCTTGCTATAATCCACATGTTACTTGGATGCCCTCTTTCATGTGTTGTGGTACAGACCACTCTACCGAGCAATGGGGTAAACATTAGTGATTGGTTAACATATTCTATTTGAGGGTGAAAAGAGAACTTTTTGTGTCCTAATGGTTCTTCTACTTGTTTTCACCTTGCAGGACATATAGAGCCTTGAATATTGATTGGTTTTTCATGGTATACTTGGTGAGTTTAGTTGTAATTGGGAGGCATTTGTTATTATTTTTTGTTGCTTTTTGTTTAAACTGTCTATTTACATTGTGTAGCTCCACCTTGGGTTTTGCATTTTTGCTGCAATTGCTCCTCCTGTTGTCTTTCATGGGAAGTCATGAACGTAAGTTCTTAACTCCCTAATTTGTTCCTGATGTAAGGACATTGAGTTAGCATATCTGCTGATTGCCTGAGTAATTTTGTGCATGTTTTGGTTGTGATTGAATGTATAGATGATGCCAGCTTGTTTAGCTGCTGTTATAGCTAGTTACTACGACATTTCAACCTTTTTTTTCCAGGGGGAGGGGGGAGGTTAAGTTTTGCTGCCTTGTCAAAATGGTGCTTGTTAAATGTTTGAATGTTCTCATGATTGTGTTACACGTTGATTTTGTATTTGATCATATTTTTCTGTTGCCCCTGCAGTGGTATCCTGGCAGCAATCGATGTTATCTCTGATCATCATATGTTAGCAGGGGTAAGTTTTATTACTTTTGCATGTTGGAATTGTTTCACTCTTATTAGTAGTGAGTTGTAGGAACCTAAGGATGTGCACTCTTATTAGTATCATTGTTTGGACACTGTAGTTCTGAGGAGAATATATGATCATACATGGATGCTTTTGCTTCTGATAGTCTTAATTTAGTTTTCTTCTCAAAACATTCTTTTATTAAATGTTTGGGCCTAACTAATTTATTTGTGTTTTACAGATTTTCTTCTTTGTTGATTTTGGTCTCTTTTGCTTGGAGTCCCTGCTGAGCTTGTGGGTTATTCAGGTTAGAGACGGCGAATCTCTAGATTCATAACAGTTAAATTTATTTTATTGTAAAACGATGTGTCTATCTTATTTGATTTTTTTCTCTTTTAAGATTCAACTGAACTCTATTTATCATTCTTGGAAAGAAATATTTCTTGTACTCTGCGATGTTGCTAAGTTTTGGTGAATATGTGTTTGAGAAGATATATACACTATAGTTTCATTGAATTAGTGTCTTAATAGGTTTAAAATATTTATACGTCTGATTATGTAGATTCTGCACTTTGATTTTTCATTACAGTGCATGGGTTTGCCTTTGCCTTGATATTTACTTTTACCATTTGTGTATTGGTATGTGCAGAAAAGTTATATGTACTTTAGGGGGGCACAATTAAGAGATATGGAAGTGCGGCTATGCTGTGATCATACGCGGACGATTGTTAATGGTGCCACTCTCCATCTATTGGTATTCTATATATAATATAGTGTAATTGCGTTTATCATGTTATGATTGTCGAATGAGTGATACAATGGCCTTGTATGCATCATTACAACAGAGTATATTCTAGGAATAGTTCTTACTGGTTTTTTGAGAGTTGGAAAGAGTGTTCCAAGTCATTTCAAGTTCATCCTCGTCGCAAATTATTTCCAGTTCCCGGTTTCTACTTTCATTTGTTTCATGTCCTTAACATGATTCAAATAAATCAACCCATCTCATGAAATGCAAAACAAAAGTGAGAGATATTGAAATCATTCTTTATTTTATTTTTTCAAATAAACTTGGGTCTTCGTTCAAGAATTAAGAATGGTACTCTAAGAGGGCCAGCGAGTTTTTACACTTATAAATCCAACTTAAAGGGCTTGGAAAAGTTCCATTACGGGCTAACTTCTGTAATAACAGTGACAAGACGGTTTGCTTTATTGAAAACAAGGTTGGCTAAGCAGCTTTGAATGTAGTTGTGAAGGCCCAAAGCGAGAAAAGCTTTTGCAGACCGTCGGCTTATGCTATCCTTCTGTCCTAGTTTTCTGCCCATTTATTTCTTTGTGGATAAGAAAATGAAATGACCCCTTAGGCATTACTCCTTCCCATATCATTTATCCACGCTTCACACAGGAACAGTCCAAAGATTGAATTGCATAATGCATGGCACAGGCTCCATATCACCTCGCCTCATCTCCACACCACACCTCACCCCCAAGCCCCTCATCTTTAACCGGCCACTCCTTTCATGCCACGTGGCACATCAAATATCCTAAATTACAACCAGTAGTAACCCCATGCTTTGTAGCATATGAATTTCGAAATGACTCTTTTATCCATTGCCAATTGAATCAGTCCATTCATGTACCTTGATGTCACCTACAACATCAGGGGCAGTCGCAGGAGCAAAAAACACCTCAGCCTTCCATCAATATAGCTATACCATCTTTCTTCAACCCTTCCCTCTCGGTTTTTGTGTTCCAAAGTTTTCCTTGGAAGGACATGAATCAAAACTCGTTTTTATGTGGTCTTTGAGGGCCATCTAGAACAATTTACCGGGGCACCCATTTTATCAATCTCTCCCTCTCTAGAATTCTCTATCCTAGCAGAAAGAAGTGGAGAGAAGTAGCTAAGCAATGGCAGTTTGCACAGTGTACACCACCCGGTCTCTCAGTTCAACATGTTCAATCTCAACACCATCGAAAACTCGCCTAAGTTCTTACCAAAACCAGCTAGTCTTGTACAGCAGCGGCAAGAGAAGCAGCAAGAGAGGCAGCAGCAGCAGCCCATGGGTGATAAGCTGCTCAGCTGGTGACTCACAAACGGTTGTGATTGGTCTGGCTGCAGACTCAGGCTGTGGGAAGAGTACCTTCATGAGGAGGCTGACAAGTGTGTTTGGTGGTGCAGCAGAGCCACCAAAGGGAGGCAACCCTGACTCTAACACACTCATCAGCGACATGACGACTGTAATATGCTTAGATGATTATCATTCACTTGACAGAACTGGAAGGAAAGAGAAGGGAGTGACAGCCCTTGACCCGAGAGCCAACGACTTTGACCTCATGTATGATCAAGTTAAGGCTCTCAAGAGTGGAGTTGCCGCCGAAAAGCCTATCTATAACCATGTTACCGGTCTCTTAGATCCTCCTGAGCTAATTAAGCCTCCAAAGATCCTTGTCATCGAAGGCCTGCACCCCATGTAAGTCCAAATACAACCCTTCGTTTATTCTAGTAAATATTTCGGTACTATTCTAGTTTTTTTCTTTCCATCAATATTCACAGGTATATTGGAGTAACTTTTTCCCTTTTTTAAACTGCAATTGTTGATGCAATTAAGGGGTGCTTTGATATAGGTTTGATGAGCGTGTGAGGGATCTGTTGGACTTCAGTATCTATTTGGACATCAGCAATGAGGTCAAATTTGCTTGGAAAATTCAGGTAAATACTATTGCAGTGTCAAATATGTTGTTCTAAGCCTGGATTTTCCTCATCAGCGTCATCTTACTTTGTTGAAAACATTGCAGAGGGACATGGCTGAGAGAGGACACAGCCTTGAGAGCATTAAAGCCAGTATCGAAGCCAGGAAACCCGATTTTGATGCCTATATCGGTAATTCCCACCACATCCATATCCGTTTTAATAAATAAATCTAGCAATGGTAGCTATAAGTTTAAGAAGTTACAATAATCTTGTGTTTGGTGGTTGCACTGCAGATCCTCAGAAGCAATATGCCGATGCGGTGATCGAAGTGCTGCCGACTCAGCTGATTCCGGATGACAACGAGGGGAAGGTTTTGAGAGTTAGGTTGATAATGAAAGAAGGGGTAGAGCATTTCAGTCCAGTTTACTTGTTTGATGAAGGCTCAACCATTTCATGGATACCCTGCGGAAGAAAGCTCACCTGCTCTTACCCTGGCATCAAATTCTCTTATGGACCCGATTCTTACTTCGGCAACGAGGTATTCTTCCTTTTCTGTCAACACCAAAAATGAACTGTCAGGTTGTGTTTGATGCCACAACATATGTTTTTGTCCCTTCAGGTATCTATTCTGGAGATGGACGGGCAATTCGACAGATTAGATGAACTGATATACGTAGAAAGTCATTTGAGCAACCTGTCTACCAAGTTCTATGGAGAAGTCACACAGCAAATGTTGAAGCATGCTGATTTTCCTGGAAGTAACAACGGAACCGGCCTCTTCCAAACCATTGTGGGGTTGAAGATAAGAGACCTGTACGAGCAAATTACCTCTACCAAAACTGCAGCTCCACTAGAAGCAACAAAAGCCTGAATGTCCTTTGGCTTTGGCTTCACTCTTTTCAGCTTTCCCCAATTTCCACTTCCTATTTAAAGTTTCATTTTGAGTGTTAGGCTTTTGCTCTCCAAAGAACGAGTACGCCCTATGCATGTATTTATTTTCTTCTGTTGTAATTTAGAAAAATGAATGCGAAATCAAATTAAAGTTAAGAAGTTCACACAAGGCTGACATTCTCATATTGTTTGTAGTCTTTAACGATGCATGGCTCAGTGGTCCTTCAAGTCACGAGGCTGTGAAAGATGATGAGCTTCAGCTGCAACTCTCAGAGCAAGTTTCCAATTTTTGTCTCCCAGCCAGGCAAGCAAGGCTCATGTGAAGATGATTTTGTTTTCTTTTCTTATTTTGCATTTTTATTTAATATAAAAATCTCCAGAGATTACAAGGAATACAACTAAATAACACCTTCACTCAAAGGAGACACCTCCTAAATAAAAACTCTCAAAATATAACTCAAACCACTTAATCTTGGATAAAAACTGTCATCCTTCATGGCACTCAAAAGCCCTCCAAAGAACCAGCATAAAGGAATCACCAACCAACAAGCACCATCATTAGAATCCAAACTTGGGCCTTTATCCGGATCCCCTTACACCATGAGTCCAATATGCCTTACATCCTCAATAGGCCACACATGGCACCGATTAGAGTTGTAAATCAGACGAGACATATTGCGTGTTACTCGAATTTGTCTCGAATAAAGTTTGATCAACACCCAAATTGAATAAAATATACTTGAGCTCAAACTTGACTCAAGTTCTTAATGAGTTGAAGCAAACTACTTAATACCTGACTTGAAAAGTTCGCGAGCAATTCAAAAAAATAATATATTATTTTTTTTTATTTTAAAATTAATGGTAAAAATACACTTCAAGCCCCTATACTTTAAAAAAAATCAATGTGGCCATCGTACTATTGTTTTCTCTCAATTTGGCTCTACACTCAGAAAAGAAACTCAATATGGCCCTTTGACCAAGGTTTTTCGTCGTTGATCGTTAATTACTGATGTAGTGATCCATAGTGGAAGATAACGTGGTAGATGGGCTAAATTGTTTTTTATTTTGTTTGAGGGACAAATTGATTTTTTTTAAAGGTTCAAGGGCTTATTTATTTTTTAAAAAATAAAATCTATTTTAAAATTTTAAATATAAAATTATTTAAATATTCAAAAAATAAATATTAACAATATTATCAATAAAAAAATTAAATTATTAAAAAAATTGAATATTCATATTTAAAAAAATTAAAACTTTAAGTTGTAGGCTATAAATCAATAGATTATAATCTGTTGACTAAAACAAATCACATAGCCCTAATTTATAGCTATTGATATTTAGGGATTTTACTATAATGTAGATGTTGATTTGTTGATTTTGTGTATAGTTTTCAATATTAGACTATCTTGGTAATCTATAAATAGACATCATTCTTATTAATAAAAAGTAATTAAAAAAATACAAACTTTCCACCATTAAAAATCTAATTCAAACACCTAATTTCTAGGTGGTATTAGTTTAGGTTACACGATCCTTTTTCAATGGCTGCTACAACACACGAAGGTAATCTATCTTTTACACATTTATCCCATTAGAGTGATTCTACTCCATGAATTATAGATTCTGGAGCATCATATCATATGATTAGGAGATTGCAATTATTCCAAACCTTTCAGAAAGTATTATCTCAATTCCATATCAAGACTGCATATAAGTCTTTACCCACTATTGCATGGAGTTATCTAATGTGCCTAATTTGACTTGCAATCTTCTATCAATTCATAGATTATCTCATGACTCACAGAGCTAGGTTATCTGGTGGACTTAGGGATGGGCATCTCGACCCAAACCTGACTCGACCTAAATATTTTACATTCTTCACCTGACCCGAAAAATATATATCCTCCACCCGACCCGAATCCGATCCGACTTTTTGAGTTAAAATCCGAACCCGATCCAACCAGACTTGAAATAATAATAAAATATTATTTTTATTCAATAAAAATAATGATTTAATTGAAAAAAATAATATATAGAGGGGTATTATTGTAATTATTCCTAAATATATAAGGTAAAATTATATTTTTTTTGGGTCGGGTCGAGTCTGATATTTTTCACCCTAAACCCAAATTCGACCAGACCCGACCCGAACATCTCCTTTTAAAGAAAAACCCAACCTGATCAAGTCGGAACTTGTCGGGTTTGGGTCTCATGCCCATCCCTAGGTGGACTCTACATTCTTCAAGAGAAGTCACCTCCTAAACGATAAGCTTATTCAAGTAGTTCTCTTCAACCTTCAAATTTATCCATTGTCCTAAATTCCTCTCAAGATATCCTATTATGGAATTTCGGGTTAGGTCATCCAAATTTCCATTACCTTGCAAAAATGTTACCTACTCTCTTTATTAATAAAAACCCAAAGTTATTTACATGCAAAATTTGTCCCCAAGAAAAACACATAAAAGGCTCTTACCGTCCTTCCACTTATAAACCTAAAGTACAGGTCGGTAGTTTCGGGTTGGTTTTCAGATTTTCGGTTAAAATATTAATATTGAAAATGTTCATTGATAAATATTTTCTAAAATGATTTAAATAGTTTTGGATTATTAAATTATATTATTGGGAATTTATAATTTATTTTACAAAGTGACTAAATTGAATGAATTGGAAATTTTGATTTTAGTGACTAATTTGTAAAGAGATCACAAATTAAACTCTATGAAGCTAGTTTTACCAAGACTCGTGCTTAGTGTTTTTCCCTCCAAGTTTAACCGTATCTTTAATCTCCTTTTTGCTAATTTTCCATCTAGATTCATTTTCTTAATCCTTTCTCATTTTTATTCCTAATTCTCATTAACATGTTCTTTTATTTTCTCTCATCCAAACACTAATGTATAATTTTCTCTCCCAAAATTCTCTCAAGCTCTCTCTTGGCTGAAACTCTTCTTTTTCATTTTCTATTCCTTTGTTATTGATTTTTGTTCATTTCTTCTTTATTTTCTCTATTCAATCAAGATTGATTCTTCTTCTTTTATCTTTTATGTTTTTCCTTTATCTCTTTGGTGTTGCCATTGTTGATCTTCATCTTCTTTTCCAACAAGGTAGTTCCTTTTGTTCTTCAATGATTAATGATCCAATGAGATTTATGATTTTTATTAAGCAATTCTTTTAAAGAGAAGTTTGTTAATTAAACTTGATTTTTGGAGGTATCTAATGTGCTATTTTTCTTGATCATTTTTCAAGGTTTTCTTGTGTTGATTAAGATGTTTTTGATGATATTATTTTCAAACTAATTCATTTTCGCAATCTCACTTGATTTGGATATTGATTTCTTTAAAACAAGCTTGACTTCGGTGTTTTTCGAAAATATAATAATTTGGAAATATAATAATTTTGGAAATATATTAATTTGAGTTTAGTTGTTGATATTATTTTTTCTTGATAAGCTCTTGTTGAGGAGAAGTAGTGTCGATTGGATCGGAGGCTCAGAGAGTCATTTCAGTAAGGTTTTTAGTAATTTCGATCTATTTAGGTAAAAGTTTCATTCTCAACTTGTTCAAAATTTGACCCCCACTATGCTAAAGGAAGATTCAGAAGCAACTGAAGTAATTGGATGACTAATATATCTCTCGCCATGCGAATTAATGTAGGAGTCAACATCCGATTTTGCATCCCTTGAAGTAACTAAATTGACATTAAAATTCTAAAAAGACAAATAAAATAAAATAATTAGAATTGTGAAAATAGAATAATTAAATTAAAATATTTAAAATTATGAAAATTGACCTGAAATAGATCATATTTTTTAAATGTTCGACGCCGATTGGAAGAACTCGACGAAGTGTTACTTTTTAGAGAAAATGAAGAACCAGAAAGTGCAAATTTTGAATAACACACACACACACATAAATTAACAAACTCATTATATATGACACTTACCCTTTGTTAAACGTCGTTCTCTACATAAAGAACATTATACAACTCCATCAAAAGTTGTAATTTATATTAGGATCAAACAAAACAACAATAGACATAATCAATGAGTGATCACACCAATATTTCTCATATAATTCAAGCATGGGCCCTACCATTGCATAATGCCTTGACAATGATCATTGTGAGTATCACACAACAACTTCAATTGCAACAACATTAGCCAAATAAAATTTAAAGGTGGGATACTTATATCCAGAGAGCAGAGTGGTAATTTCATAAAATGGCTTAAGAAAATCACAAATTGTTTGAACAATTTTCCACTCATATGCAGTAATCATATCCAAGTCATTTTCCCTATTCACAAACAAGTTAATGGCTAATTTAGCATCAAGTTCCCTATAAATCATTGAGTATGAAGAATTCCATCGAATAGGAACATCTAGTAATAATTTACCATGAAAAGAAGAATCACAGTTTTAACAGCTAATTTAAAGGAACAAAGTTGAGAATCAGAAGAATCAATAAACTTAACAATTTCTCGTAACTTAATAATAGAAGAATCAATTACCTTCTAACATTTTTGAACTATCAAGTTCAAAATGTGAGCATCACCTTATATGAAAATACTTACCATTACATGGAAGAGGAGAAATAGCATGCAAATCATCTCTAATTATTTTAACCATTTTATCATTTGTAGAAGCACTGTGAAGAGTTATGGTAAAAGCTTTTTTCTTCAAGACCCCACTCGCATATCATTTTTTTCACAAACTTAAAAATTGACTCAACATCATGTGGTGGAGGAAAATGATGAAAATTTAGTATTTTAGACTAAAGTTTCCAGTTATTATCGATATAGTGTGTAGTAAGAGCAAAATAAGAACGTGAAGTGCAGGCATACCATCCATCACATGTAAAACAAATTTGACTTGAAACATAATGTATTGAATCAAGTAGCTATTTCTTATGCTTTTCATGCTCTAACATGCAATACTTAGTAATAGTATACCTCAAAGTATCCTTCACGTTAACATTAAGGTAATGATGCAAACCCTAAGATTTTCATGCTCAACCATACTCAAAGCATAACCATGACACAAAATAGCCTCATCAAACAATTCACAATATCTATTTTTATCAAAAGAACTTATCATATTAGGATTTTCAGCAAGGAAATCTTTATAAACTTAACATTTATTAGTATTCCTTTTAAGGTTAGATGTAGCAATAT